TAAACCTAGGGGTCGACGAGAAGAATGGGGAGAGGTCGAGCTATGCAGCGGTCTTTAATTGAGCAAGGCGACATCAACCATTGGGGCGGCCACGCAATGTGAGAAGAAATTACGATGAGGATGGCGATGAAGACTTCGATCATGATGAGGCTACCTATTGACGAGTAGATGATGATGACTTAAAGGGAATTAAGGTGACCATCCCTTCATTTAGAGGGGACAACTGACCCTGATGCATATCTCAATTAGGAACGCAAGATGGAGTTGATTTTGTATTGCCGTCATTATTCGGAGAGACGAAAGGTGATCCTAGACTCTCTCGAATTTACTAATTCTGCTTTGGTTTGGTGGGATCAATTGTGCACCATGAGAATAAGATATAGGTAGAGATTTATTAAGACATGGGATGATATGAAGGGGCATTATGCGAGACAAATTTGTGACAATCTATCATCAAAGTGAGATGCATCAAACATTGCAAATTCTCCGTCAAGGCAACAAGAGTGTTGCAGACTATTATCAAGAGATGGAGATAATGATGATCCAAGACGATGTTCGTGAAGGTAGGGAGGCTACCATAGCTTGATTTTTACATGTGCTTAATCGAGATTCGAGTATTGTGGAGATCCAACAATTCATCAAGCTTGATGAAGTGGTGTCTAAGGCGAGTAAGGTGGAAAGAAAGCAGAAGAGTCGAAGGTTCTTACCTTCTACAAGTACCACGAGATCGACTCAAGCTCCTACAACAAACCTTAGGCCAAGTTACCCTACAAAGGAAGCACCAAAGCTTGGGCCAAAGGTTAAACCTCCAAACCCTAGTGCAAAACAAGGGACACCGTCTGGTGGAATTCAAAGTTTCAAACGTCACGGATGGGGGCACATTGCAAACCAATGTCTGAACAAGAGGGTGTTGATTCTATTGGAGAACGGAGAATACGTGTCTAAATCTGAAGAACAAGCACAGAAAGAGAAAGACACATCCGATTCTGAAGTTGAGGAGACCATAGAGTCTAGAGATGAAAGCACCTTCAGGCAAGCTATGTGTGGCTTAAAGGTTATTGAACATACAACCAAAGGAGGAGCTTGAGCAAAGAGAAAATCTATTCAATACAAGAGTTATAGTAGATGGGAATCTGCTCTCGTTTGTGTTTGATGGAGGATGCTGCACGAATGTGGCGAGTGCGAGCTATGTGAAGAAATTGGGGTTGAAGACATCGATACATCCAAAATCCTACAATCTTCAATGGCACAACGAAGATGGCTCGATTAAGTGGCTAAGCAAGCTCTACTAAATTTTGCAATTGGAGAATATAAATATGAAGTTACTTGTGATGTGGTGCATATGAAAGCGGCTCATGTTTTACCTGGTAGGCCATGGCAATTCAATCGAAATGCAGAACATGATGGCGTCACCAACAAGTATAAGTTGACACATCAAGGTCGAAAGTTCATACTTAAACCACTATCTCCCAAATAATTTTATGAAGATCAATGTTAAATTCAACAAAATAGAGAAAGGGATATAGAAGCTCTAACCACAAGGGTTAAGAAGGAAAGTGCAAGAAATTGGGAGCCCAAGGCATCAATGCTAGCAAGTAGTGGATATATGAAGCAAGCCATTAATGATATAGCCCATGATTATCATCTTGTACAAGGGCGTGCTACTCAACCAAGAGTTGATTCCAGGCATACCACCTAGAGCACGAGTGGTATTGGAAGAGTTTGAAGATTTCTTTCCCGAGGAAGCTCCAAGAGGCCTACCTCCAATTTAAGGGATAGAGCATCAAATTGACTTCGTTCCTGGAGCCACAATTCCAAATAAAGCGTCTTATAGGATGAATCTAGAGGATATGAAGGAATTGCAAAGGCAGATTGATGAGCTAATGAAGAAAGGACATGCTCATGAGAGCATGAGTCCTTGCGCGGACCCTGTCATCCTTGTGCCAAAGAAGGACCGTATGTGGAAAATCTGTGTTGATTGTTGAGCAGCCAACCAATAATAGTTAAGTATCATCACCCTATACCTCATTTAGATGACATGTCTGACGAATTACATGGTTTTAGTTTGTTTTCAAAGATTGATTTAAGGTTAGGCTATCACCAAATTCGCATGAAAGAAGGGGATGAATGGAAACTGCTTTTAAGACGAAGCATGATCTTTATAAGTGGATGGTGATTCCCTGCGGCTTGACAAATGCTCCGAGTACGCTTATGAGGTTGATGAATCACGTGTTGAGAGATTTTATTGGGAAGTTCATGGTTGTCTACATCGATGACATTCTGATATAATCGAAGAGCATGGAGGAACATCTCGAGCACTTGCGAGATGTGATGAAGACTTTGAGAAAGGATCGGCTCTATGTCAATCTCAAGAAGTGCATGTTTTGTACCTCAAGCATGGTATTTCTGGGATTCGTGGTTAGTGCTAATGGAGTTGAAGGCGATGAAGAGAAGGTGAAGGCGATTCAAGCATGACGTACCCTACTAACGTGAATGAAGTGAGAAGTTTCCATGGGTTGGCTAGCTTCTATCGATGAATCATTCCCAAATTTAGCACCATTGTTGCCCCATTAACGTTGATTATTAAGAAGAATGTGGTGTTTTATTGGGTAGAAGTGCAAGAGAAGGCATTCAAGTTACTAAAGTACAAGCTTACTCATGCTCCTGTTCTAATGCTACCTGATTTTAACAAGAAATTTGAAGTGGAGTGTGATGCATGGATTGTGAATTGGAGTTGTATCGATGCAAGAGAATAAGCCTATTGCGTATTTCACCGAGAAGTTGAGTGAGGCTACGCTTAACTATCCTACATATGAAAAAGAGCTCTATGCATTGGTTCGAGCTTTGGAGACTTGACAACATTACTTATGGCCAAAGGAATTTGTTATACATACTGATCATGAGTCTCTCAAATATTTGAAGGCCCAACACAAGTTGAACAAAAGGCATGCTCGTTGGGTGGAGTTCATCGAATCTTTCCCATATGTGATTAAGTACAAGCAAGGCAAGGAGAATGTAGTTGTTGATGCCTTATCGAGAAGATACACTTTGTTCACTACCATGGATGCTAAGTACATTGGATTCGAGCAAATCAAAGGGGTTTATGAAGAGGATTCTGATTTTTGAGAGATCTACAAGCTATGTGAGAAGCATGGCGAAGGGAAGTACTATCGACATGACGACTATTTGTTTCGTGGTAATCAACTTTGTATACCACGTCGCTCTCGTGTTAGGTAGCTCTTGCTACTTGAGCATGATTGATTTAGATAGAGAGACCCTACTTTCTTCGAGTCTACACCATTGTCGAGTCACCCTTGTGTTTGGAAGCTGCATTCATTCCATTTGAGCTTAAATAAGATTCCACATGAGTGATTTGTGTATGGTTTTGCTAAGAATGTGAAGTGAGTGCGGAGGTAGTTCTTTAAAGTGTACATTGTTCCTTAAATTCAAAACCTAGGAGGGAGAAATCCCCTTAGAGCCCATTATTGGCGTCTTCAGGTCACTCCTATTGTATATTGTCTGGGTAATCCCCAAGGGAGTTCATTCGATCGGCCTCCTAGCGATATATGAACCCCTAGGTTGAATAGAGCACCTGCACCTACCCATCCATCACCTTGTCGTTTCGGGTCATTCGTGAGTGAGTCTAACTCCTAATGGTAGGATAGTGAGTCGATCGAGCTAGGATAGTACCTCATGTACAACTCTTTGCCAAGGCAAGGTCAAACCATCGGTGATCCCTCTTGGTGGATGATGGTTGTAAATTGATGATGCATTACATGGTGTGGGGCAAAGAGAAGAATGAAGAAGGAAAGGTCTCGTGGGTGGAGCCTCAAGACAATTCAAGTTTACGATCCCTCAATCATGGATTCGTCCAATACTCGCGACTTGAGACACGAGCTACGAGTTTTCCACCCTAGAAAGCCTAATCGAATATCCATAAATTGAGCTCTAGAGGTAGAATTTGAGAGGAGTAGACGAGAGGTCAAGGAAGGGTCATTACTGGCGACAGAGCAACCCTCATAAACGAGCCCCCCGCCCCCCCCCCCCCCCCCCCCACGAGGGAAAATCGGCTCCCAAAATGGTGCCCCTCCCCTTGGGCATGTTTTCTTTGCTCCAAGCGCCGATTCTAGTGGCCCTCCAAATGTCTTTGTTTCCATTGATAAACACCCAGGTTCCATTCCCCATGGTTGCCTAAGTTCCTTAATTGCATTGGTATGTGAACCCTAGGGGTTCTAACCATGTAAACTCGATGATTTGGTTTAATACGATTATTTGCTTTTCATGCGTGATGCTTGATTTCCTCTATTTCGTTATTTGTCGATTTGAATGAGTGCTTACAATAGATCCACACTCCTTCGAGGTGCAAGGATAAAAAATCCTATTCGTTTGGGTAAATGCTTCGGCACAAAGTGGGATCTATCGGAATAAGAAATCGGCAACTCGTATGCTACCGATCATCGAGGGTGCATGGTTAGGAGACCTAAGGGGAGCTTGCCTATGCAACGACTTTCTTCTTTGATCTCTCTCGTCAAGTAGTTTATATTTACTTTTTTGCACCGCTTTAATTTTCAAACTCTTATGTTCTACAAAACCAGAAGCACCTCAACATCCACAACCCGCTATCTTCATCAATAGAACCATACCTCGCTTCCGAAGTAAGGATTCTACAAGAGGCCCTAGGAAAATCCAATCCTGGTCTTAGAGCAGGTAAATTTGGTACGTGTTCCAAACGACATCAATCAATTTCCACCAGGTCTATTCAAGAAGATAGCGGGTTGTGGAGGTTGGAGATGGAGATGTTGAGGCCAAAAAGCTCAGCGACATATCTTAAAGCTTCTGATTCAAACTCCCAAAGAATCCTCCGGCACAGCCTGCAAATTCTCATCTCCTTCAATTTCCAGTCACAAAATTTCACTTCTCAATCCCTAAACCTAAATCCCTTAATGTGAGTCTAAACTTGAGTTTGGTTGGATACACGGCAAGTATGCCAATGCTCATTGCCGGTCACGGGAAGCACTTTAACACCAGAATCATAATTGTGCAATGAATCCCAAAGTAACAGTCAGAAAAATGTAAAATATGGAATTCCTGATTCACTGAAATCAATCCCAAACCATGAACATATCTCTGCTCATCGAAATGACAGCTCGCACGAATTGCCATTACTGAAAGGAGGGAAAAGCAACACGAATGGACCAGTAAGTTCTGCCCCACAATCGAATTAACCACTGAAAAATGAGACCATAAATAAGATCCATAAGCCAAAGCAAAACCAGAAATAGCTCAGAGCTTCATCCATCATCTTGGTAGCCTAAGCAGTTCTGAGTATGATGTGAGCACCACTGTCGGTATCCACTATGTCACTTATGTCACCAACCTTGAGGGCAAATGTTGCATCTTCAAATGGCTTCTGCATCTGCCCACGCCCAAATGGACCTGTACCCACAATTTAACCATACAAATTGATTTGGTGATTGCAAATGAATCTACAAACGACATGCACAATTTAGCAATAAAAAAATCCACTGCAAACGAATCTACTGTTTGTTTCAGAGAATTAGGAATGACAACATTGCATGACCACAAATTGAACTGAACTCTATTGTCTCTTACATAGAGAACCAGCGCATGCTGGTAGACAAACGACTAGATTGTTTCCATATTGCCAGGAGATATTTGCCTTTCGTTAATGCACTTAGGTAGAACTCTTACCCTGAAGTTCAGAGCTCGAAGTCATGGAAACAGAAAGCACATAATGGATCTTCCTCCACACTAACGTCACAATGATGCTCTAATAAGAAACTTACCAAGTTCATAACCTTGCTTCTGGTTTTACTGAACCAGTATCAATTCACTAAGTTCCTTTCACGTCCTTTCCTTCAAATACAAATCATTAACTTTATCTGGGTTGCGTTAAGTTTCAGTTCGAAAACTCAGTCTAAAAAGAAGTAAAACTCCGAATCCACCAGAATCCATATACCCGTACATAACAAAACTATAAGAATGAACAAGGAAAGGAACTAGGGTTCCAGTAAGCTCTGAATTATGGCAATTCCACAACGCAAGCTCAAACTATCACCAATCAAGCACAAACCCTTCAAAGGAATCGAGATCCTAATTGACAACAGCGTGAAGCGAATCAATGAGACCTTAAATCTGTGTTCTCAAACCAAAGACATCACTAAATACTAATAAAGTCATCAGTAAACAATATGAAACTCGACCGCAAAGCTGAAAGCCGTGGAATTTCGATAAGCAGAATTACCGACCTAGATCGCCGCCGCGCTTGGCGGAGCTGCAATCGGAGTGGCGAGAGGCGATGTCCTCGAACTTGGCCTTTCCAGAGAGGATGTCCTCCCGGAACTGTACGAGCTTAGCGATGGCGCTCTCTTTCGTGGTGTTCATGATAACACGGCCTTCAGGATCCTTCCACGAAGCTTTCCGTCGGGAGCCCTCGTGCTTTATCAGTATGTGGGAAGCCCTGACCTTATCCCCGGACGCCATTGGCTTCGATCTCTTCTTGCTCTTATCCCGCTCCCTCTCTCTTCCCCTCTCCTTATCCTTCGCTATTCGATCCTCCGAAGAGATCGAATCGTTCTTCCTTTTCCGATCCGAATCTATTTTCGCAGCTCCGCAGTTAATCAGATCTCCTTCTCCTCCCTCTCGGCTTCCAACTCTCCAGATAAACCCTTTTCTCTTCTCTTGTCGATGACTAGTCCACACTTTAAAGCTTCCGTCAATCAGTGGCTAATTACAAGTTTGGTCACTCAAATTATATAGATCTTTTATATTTACCATTTTGTACTAATTTGACGAATCATTTCACCGTTAGTCGCCGACCGTATGTCTCCATCAAACTCCGTTAACACCGTCAGATTTTTATGATGTGACAAACGTAACTGTTGACTAGGCTGTCAGAAAGTTGAGTCGTATAATTTAACCGCCTAGTTAGCCACAATACCCAACCCAGTAATTAACGGATGACGGAAATACTCTCTCTCCATTTTTCCCATCCTGCTTTTACCTTCCTCCAACGAAATAAACTTAGGATGCAAGAGGGCTCGATGGCGGTTTCAACCAGTCGGCCCTCCTCTCTCTCTCTCTCTCTCTCTCTCTCTCTCTCTCTCTCAGTTTCCTACTCTGTTGTTGTTGGGTTCGTGTTGGACCTATACCTCTATTGGGTTGGGGAAGTTAACTTTTATGGCAGCTTCATCCTCTATATTGTTGGGCTATTCTGGTTCAAGTTGCCGTTGGAACTCCTCCAACTATGGTGGGGCCATGTGTTATGGTTCTCGCGAAGGGGACTTGACTGCGGGCTCCAACTCGATCTTGTGGTCCACCTCTCTCCTTGGTCGCAGCTTCTTGGGCATCACATAATCTAACTCTTCAAGCACACCTTCGGTGATGGGAGTTGTAGTTCCCATTGAGTCTCCTTCTTCCTCCATCTTCAAGGCTACAAGAAATGTTGACTCCTTCCTTTTGAACCCCTTCAAAACCTGTATGGCAAACAAAGCACTATAAGGTTCATCCTTCCTCAAGAGTTGGACCGCATTAAACTTCCCTCCCTTCTCCAATCACGTGATGTTGGAGTTGGGCTTCAAGAGCACTTCCTCCTTGACTCCTTGTCGAGGAAGTTGATGTCGAGGATGGTAAAGTGATTATCCATGGTGACGGGTGAAGTCGACGATGCCTTCCCATTCTCCGACCTTTAGTGGCACATTGCGAGCAACTCTGTGGATTGTGATGGACTTTGAATTGATCGTCTTGAGGTACCCTCCCCGCCGCTTCGCCTCTTCTATGCCAAGGAAGTTGTCTGTGGCTCCAGTATCCACCAAGTTTTTTGACTCACTTTGCATGAATTGGGCCAGAACGTAGCATCTCTCACGCTTGCTATCCTTGGCATCAGTCTTGACGACGCCAAGTTTGCTGATGGAGCCTATCTTAGCCTCTGCTGCCTGGGGCTCATCATCTTGAGCCTCCATTGCTGTCATTCTTGCCTTCCTTGGGCAATCTCTCACTTTATGTGGTCCATCACAAAGGAAACAAGTAATGGCTTTTGTTCAAACTCACCTCATTTGCTTGGGCCACCATATTGTTGAGTGATATTTCCCTCCTTGGATAAATGTCTTTGTTCTCCACCCTTGGTCTTAGGACTCTTCTCCTTGCTGCTCTCGAGCCTCTAGTACTCAACAAAAAACTCCACCGTGGACATTATAGTTGCAAAGTCTTGCACTCCTCGCCATTGCATCTCCATCTTGGCCCACGATTGCAGCCCATCAAGGAAACCACATGCATGGCCTCCTTGTCGATGATGTCAGGGATCTCTAGAAGTAGTTCCAAGAATTCCTTCATGTGTTCTCTAACTCCACCCCTCTGGGTGAGCCTTCTCAACATCGAATGAGTCGTAAACTTCACATTCTTCGGATAGAACTACTTCTTGATTTCTCACTTGAAATCATCACATGCTGCCATTAGAAATGTACCATTCTCGAAGTCTACTTTACGTCTCCTCCACCAAATAGTAGCAACATCAACCAAGTATAGTGGAGCTGTGCGAAGTTTTACCTCATCTTATTGGATGACGAATGCCTTGACATATTGCTCAAGACTCCAAAGGAAGTTCTTCAACTCCCTTGCGTTCCTCGAACCTCCATAGTTCTTCGATTGTGGAACATCAGCTCTTGGGACGGATTACACTGGGGTTGGTCTGTTAGCCATGGCTCTCTTCACAAGAGTAACCTCACTCTTGATGTATGCAATCTCTTGCTTCACTACTGTCATCTCAGCATAAATCGTCTCCTTCATGACTTCATTGGCATTGTTCATTGAGGTGGAGATGGTGTTATTGATGAGAGCCACAAGCTCTTCACGAAGCCCTTCATTGTTGATCTCTAAGCTCATCAACCGAGCCCCCATACCTTGAACATCGCATTGGATTTGAGTGAAGTTAGTTCCCAAATCCTCCATCATGGTGACATCGTCGGTCACCTTTGCCTTCATTCTGAATAGACGCTTCACTAGAGTCGCCAAGGGCTCACGAGTGCTGGAATTGTCGCCACTCCTTGGCTTGGAGCCCTTTGAGGTATTTCTACCATGATCTCATCATGAACTTCTGACCCCGTCATTTTTGGTGAGGTTCCTCCTCTTCACTTTGTCTCGTTTTTTGACAAGAACCAAGCCAACTTTTGCTCTGATACCACTTGTCACACCCCTAATCTTGGGTTGTGCGTCCTTAGGTCTCAATTTCGTTAGAGATGGTAAGCATCCTTCTCACAAACTCACAAAGAAAGAGAGAAAGAAAAAAAGTAAGTGGGGAGAACTCTCTAGGTGTTTACTCCAAAAAATGATGGAATGAGTTAAAAGTGAGGAATATGACTCCTTATATAGGCATATCCTTATACAAGGCATCAATAACCCCATTACTACACCAATTAAGCTCCCCCCATAATGTGACCCATAATTAGGGGTGGAAATCGGTATGGTATCGGTATCCCAATACCAAATACTGAAATCCCGAATACTGAATTACACCCTAAAATCAATCCCAATCCCAATCCCTAAATAATTTCGGTATCCCAATCGGTATTATCAAATTCATAATTAATTATCTTTACAATTAATAATTAAACATATAAATTAGATTTTATTGTTTAATTTAGGGTAAAGAGACTAAGCAAATAGTCTTGAGTTGCCTAGAGCTAACATCTCAAGTTCTTGCAATTGGTAATCTTTAATTTGACGAATTTGAAGTTGAGAGACAACTAATACTAGTGTGAAATAGTGATGTAATGATCTATGTATAGTTAAATGACACTTTTGGTGGTTAGGGGTCACGTAATAGTGAATGTGAGAGTCTAGTTGAGAGGATAACATACACACTAGCTTATATTTCGGTATTGATCGGTATTTCGGTATATACCGATCCCAATCCCGTAATCCCTAATACCGAATAACAATTGAAATTCAATCTCAATCCCAATCCCATGAAATAATACGTGTATTCGGTAATACCAAATATAGACAAATTCGGTACGGTATTCGGTATATCCCAAATACCGCTACCAAACTTCCAGGCTCCAGCCCTACCCAAAATGTGGCTCATAAAATGCACCATTAAGCTCATAAAGGTGAAGAATCCTAAAGGAATCTCTATGCTCTAGCCTTCAGTACGCGCCACATGTGCACATTGCCATATCGTGGCCATGTCATCTGCCAAATGCGAGAGCGTATTGGAGGAGAAAACGACATGATGGGGGATGGATTAATTTATTTTTGTATTTATAACAAACAAAATTTCTTTAAATATTATCACATCGGAAAATAACATATCACACATGTGGATGACATTTAGCACCACATATTCATCGGTCAAACATAATTTGACTTCTATCGGTCAATTGTTAGTTCAAATAATCAATAGGAAATCCAGGTAGATAAATGACATTGACCCCATAGTTTGGAATATTCATGTCTTTGTTGAAAGTTCAAAATATAAATGAATTTTTTTTAATGGTTGGTCGAATTAATGGTATTATCCTTCATTTTTTAAAAAAAAATTATCACTAACAAAAGTGGAAAAATATTTACAAAGTTATCGGCTATAAAGCCAACGAACAAAATCGCATCCCATCAGCGACAAGAATAGGGATTGACAAGCCACCAAATGGGCCTCCATTGAATCTTACAAAACTAAGACAATAAGTTGTAAGAGAACACGACAGGATACAAAATTCGTTCATATTAGCTCTTACCTTAGTGTCATGGATATTACTTGAGTTGCAACGTTCAATCAAAACTTTCACATCCCCACACAGCGGCAGATCTAGGGGGCCGCCCCCAGGTCATGGCCTAGCCCTCCCCGAATCCAAAACTCGTATAGTACTTGTAAATTTTTTATTTTGGATATATATTGTAGTGTTTATTGGGTTACGGCCCAGCCCTCTCCATCGCTTTTTAAATGCGGCCCAGTGCTCTAACCTATTCTGGATATGCTGTTGTCCCCACACAGAAGAACCTTGTGCAGAGTGTTGTTTGCATTCCAAATTTGCATTCATGAGGGGTAATGCTTCTACCACCATGGGCTCTACCCTATTAGGATAATGTTTAGCAGACGCCACCATGATTCCACCACTCAGGTCCTTCATAACAATACCAACCGATCCAAATTGTATATATTCCAATATCGCTCGCTATCAAACTAACACTTAGAATGCATCTTGCCATCCTTCCAACACATAAGGATGGGGTTGTTGGGCTATTGATTAAAATTTTCGAAGGCATGATTGGAGGTGTGGGATTGAGAATGTAATTTACACCTCTTGACTTGATGCCGCCATTAAGAAGCCAAAGATGGCCTTTTCTAGTGCCACTACTATGAAAGTGTACCTGTTGTAGCCTGTAGGTGCAATACAGTGCAAGTAAGGTCGTAAACCACAAAGGCTATGAAGTACTAGTAATTGGTTGTATTTTCTATTCTTTAATCGATCTTGTAGAAATTCTTTTAATAAAGTAAACTAAGTAAGCTATAAGAATTCAACAAAGAAAAAACGCAAAACACTAAGGAAAATTCAAGCTGAGAAGATGGTGTTCTGATTTCGAATCCCCCTAGATAATCCATTAAATCAAATAACATACAGAATCGATGTTGTCTTTCCATGACTGAATGAATTCTCAAAGTGGTGCTAACCCAATCCCCTCGTGTATTAGCACCCTATCAATCAATTAACTCTAGATAT